CAATTGTATGTTACTGCTCTCCACCTCGAGCCGGGTCGTAACAAAGGCCATAGTGCCTTTATATGTAAATACAACGAGAAAAGAATATGATCAACAAGTGCATCAAGAGTATTTCAGCATAAACTGTATTTGTAAAAAAAAAAAAAAACACTGTACCGTACACAAAAAGAGGATTAGTGATGATTAAGATGAAAGTTAATTTTAGTTTTGTACTTGCAATTTAAAATACCACTGGGTCCGGGTTAATGAAGCCATCTCCAGTAAGCTCTAATCTTCCGCTGGGGATTCAGGGCTTTCACCACTTTTATTCATTTTATATACAAATAAGTGCCAGAGCAATACATGATTGCAATACATGATTGCTCTGGCACAGCTTGGATTTGTCTTCAAACCTACTACAAGAAGTTTTAAATGGTCATGAAACAGACTAAATTGAATAAAGCTGCCTGTATATGATCTACATAAGCACACCAGACCATCAGTTGGCTATTTCTATTTGATTTGGTCAGATTCCGTTTGAATTCAATGAAACAAGACCATGTAAAAGTTACTGTTTTTGCCCACGGGGCAGCCAAAATCAACAGAAAAATGTATTTTCCTTGTTGCTGCTTGTATGCCGATGATTAAGGGCAAGCCAGTGGCAGCAGCGCAGCAATAATATTATAAGTATGTGTGCACTGCCATAGCTGACACATTTAAATGTGCTGCAAACAAAGATGCTATACGTAAAAAGGCAAATCAGCGGGTTGTTCTTTTTAAGGAAGTTACAAAGTATTAATGTGGCTATGACACTGATGAAATCTTATTTAATTGACTTTTTTTCTTTTTTTCTATGATTTGCTGCTCTTTAAAATAAGTAAAGAGCCAAAACAAAGGACTGTCTGAAAGCAAGGTAAAGTGGTGAAAATCGTCTTAATATACCATACACTTAACGTGATACTGAGGTGGGACACACTGCTGACCCTGTGTTTAGCAGTGCATTGCTCTGCTTCCATGTTGGGACTCCTGTCTGCTTTTTCAAACTGAGACTATGGATAAGTACCTCATACAACACCACTTCAAAAAACCTGAACTATCCTTGAGCACCTATATAAAGTGAAGCACATCTCAAAGGCACAGCTTTACACACAGCTATCTATCTATCTTTTTTATTTCTTACAAGAAACACAAAGCTAAGAATAATGACTTATGTTGTTTATTTGGTAGTTGTCAGTCTGACTCACCTGTTCTTCTTTGGTATATAGCTGGAAGCACTCGTCCAGGGTACAGCTATGCTGCTGCAGATGCTGCTGCTGCTGGTTTCTGACACTCTCTGCATCTTTTACCACCTCCTCCTGGATGCTGCCAAACAGACTGAAACACAGGGTTTATTGTTCCCAATCAGTTGCAGAGTTGTGTTTACCATCTTTGAATCACCATATTTTTTTGGTCTATTTACAGACAAAAACTGAATCACTGAGTGTTCTGGATTACATTCACAACAGCTAATAAACTGTTGATTAACTGCCTTCCTGAATGCTTACCATTCTTTAGTCTTGTGCTCCCACTCGATGACAAGCTTCACATGGGGAGGTCCCCCAGGGCCACAGAACTTCAAAGCTCTACAATAAAGCAAGATAAAAACTGTAAAATCACATTTTAAATCTAAACACACATCTTATGATTATTTGTTTAGTCAATGTTAGTAGAAAATGTTGCTCATCTCCAAAAGCCACAAACCAGAAAACCAAGGCAGGCTGAAATATGTGTTGCTGCCATGAGAGAATAATGGACCTGTGGTGGTGATTTCATTTTATTTCACCTTTATATACACATACTCACACATACTCACACAGTGGCAACAACAATATTTACAAAAAGTGAAACTGGGCACAGGTAAGACCTGGCTTCACATCATGTATTAATATGCAAGCACATGATGTTGAGTCACAGTGTAGAGAGGGGTGTTGTGTTTGTATTGCAGAGCTTACCTTCACTGCTTTGATCTCAGCGAGAAAGATAAAACAGCATCTTGCAGGAACATGAAGGATCACTATGTTTCGGAGTTGTGTCAAAATTTAATTGCCTTTGATTTTGCAAAGCATCTGTATTCTTGATGTTGACAAGAATACAGATGACATTTCTAGCACTGACAAAAATTTGGCTGATTCTCACTATAAGTAGTTTCATTGTACATTCAAAGGAGAACTCGTGTTTTCTCTGTGAATGTGTTTAATGCATAAACATGTACGTACTGAGTGTAACCACTAGATGTCAGGCTTACTGATGTCGACACAATTTAAGGGGGTTAAATATTACTAATACTAGAAAAGGAATGAACTATTAGCTGATGTTCCTCCTATTGTATCTAAAAATGTGAAAGTACTTAAGTTTTATATGAGTGCTGCAATAATAATTGAATCTGGATGAACAAGAATCGTTATCTGCTTTGTCTGCCTACAAACTGCAGGACACACAAAGCATACTTTTCACAGAACCAATTCACCCATTTTAAAATACTATTTTTCAAGGATTCATGGAGTTGCTACTTGGGGCTGCTTGGCTTTGTGAATCTAACAAATTTAGACTGCACGTGTGTATGATTGTAAATGCATGTGTGCGTGTATTTGTCCTGTATTACAGTAAATAATAAAGCAAAGGACAGAGACAGAGAGTATGGAGCCAGCAGTGTGCCAATGGAATAATTGGAGACTTTTACAGTGTTAAATTATAACCAGTAATAAATAATAAAAAGATGATGAATTCACCAATTAAGAATTCAATTACCTTATACTGTCTTTAATAATTAATTAATTATTGCATTTATATAGTGAATTGCAGAATTAATTTTAAACGTTTTACTTTTGTTACTTTTACTAATGTTGTATTGTCTGTTTCTGATTAAGATTTCCATTTGATCACTTGAATTGAAGGAGCTCTCTGTATAAGAAGGCCACCTAAATGGAATCCAATTCACAGCGCAGCAGAGCTTTGATTGGCCAGACTGCTGCCAACACATAACAGCTGTTCAATTAAACACTGCAAAAGTCTATAATTATTATAGTGGCACACTCCAGATATAACAGCATAACAACATGCAGGCAAACAGCTATTATTTAGTAACAAAGTGAATACCCAGTAGGCTGACCAGGGCAATATATTTAAAAATTAAAATTCATTATATTAAAACATTTTCTACCTCACAATGTACTATTTGGTTGCTATATTTGGTGACAAGTGATAAAAGTACATTCATTATCTTCTCAAAACACAAAGCTGATAACATATGAAATCAAATGTTTTCTTTATTTTCTGTGATAATTGTGTTGATGCCATGTGTATTAAAGAAAAATCCACCAGCTTGTTTTTATGTTGATGAAAATAAAAATGCTAAAAAGTTGAAACTGTTGCAGCGAGTCTTATACTATATATAATATGTGAAGCCATATAAAATATACAATATATGATATAGGCAGGAGAATCCAAGAGCCTTTGTCATGTTTTTACAGTTTACAATACACATTGTGCTTTAACATGTACATAGCATCCATCACTGTCAAATATACTACACTATTTACTATATACTCTAAATAGACATGTATACAGGCATTTACATAACTACCAAATTCAAGTATATAAAGTAATCTTTTCGCCATTCGATATTTATTTATTTGAACTATTTGTATTTGTATATGATTCACAGAAACAATTGACTTGTATATACATGTATATATTTATATAGTTGTATGTTTGCTGCTTTTTGAATACACTTATTTTGTACTACTTGTATTTACTTGCTAAAACCAATAAAGCTGATTCTGATTCTGATGCTGTGCAAGCATATTGCTAATTTCTTGAGGCAGTATGCATGAATTGAACTCGGAAAGTATTGGTAGAAAAGAATCATTCATTCCTTTTTGTTCAGTTTGGAGTTTGGATACAAAAATCAGTAATGGAAAATGCTAAATAAAGACCAAGGACAAAGTCTCTATTAGACAGTGGTTCGACTAAAATAGGGATGAACATAAACATGAATTTAGCATAAAGCATCTTTATACATGCTGAGCTGACATGCAGGTCAGAGTCTGAATCGTAAAAAGTAAAATGTACAAACATGATAAGCAGCTGATGAATGACGACCTGAGGTGCTTAGTGACCTGCTGGCACCTATAAGGGAAACTGTAAGGTTCCCTTTCATAATTCCTTATTTGGACAGATGGCTTTTCCTCATTGTGTTTGTTCTTGTTCTGTTCTTGTGTTTGTTGAGTCAACAAGAAAAACTGGCTTTGGTTATAAATAATTAAATGCTATATACTTGTTCCTAAATAAACATTAAATAAATAAATA